CCCGAATATACTAGACAGGTGTGACCTTTAGAGTTACTCTCATTATAAATATACTCGGTGTATATATCCATTATTGTTAGGTACTGCTAGTACCACAATACAATAACGACAGAATATTGGTCCGATATTGAGGATTATGACACATATTAACATACACAGGACGAGATATTGAGGATCATAACACATAGTAACATACACGGGACGAGATATTGAGGATTATAACACATATTAATTTATACGGGACGAGATATTGAAAATTATAACACATAGTAACATACACAGGACGAGATACTGAGGATCATAACACATAGTAACATACACGGGACGAGATATTGAGGATTATAACACATAGTAACATACACAGGACGAGATACTGAGGATTATATTAGATTCACAGTTTCGTACACAATATTATATTTCAGTAGTACTATATGGTTTACTTAAGTTTAAAGAACAAAAATCCCTTGTACAATTCGGTTCCGCCAAATTGCACGTGAACGTAGTGACATGACGCCAAATTGCACGTGACATGAAATAGATCACAACCGCTACACTTAAAATGAAAATAGTTAATGTTCAATAAGGTTTTGGGTGTCTCTTCTCCGCACTGCATGTATATAACTTTTACCAAAGAAGTAACCTACCCAGATTCGAACCCGCATTTCTACTCATGGAAAAGCTATTTTAGCTAATTGAACAGCTGTCTAGGCGGTACTTCATTTTAATATTACTGCTTGATTAATATTAATACTTAATTAATGATCTTAAGTTTTCATGTTATTAATTAGTAAGTCCAAAGTGTTGGCAGAATGTTTGAAGTTCATTTATTGGTTGGGCGGCATCTTTTAAGTTTGTATATACTTTTATATAAAAACTAATCGTTATTTGAGTAAACATTTCAACCATGTGGAGCCAGCAGTGTGTTTTTAAAATGTCTAAAAACACGTATTTTAATGCGCATTGATTCACCACTTACTTACCGTAATTTGTTTATTGTGTAATAGGCTGATCCTCTCTTTAATTAAAGCCATATATTTCTCTCCATCTGTGTGGTCATTAGCTTGTATCTATCTGGTTGGGCTTTATTTATCTGGTTGGCTATCTTTTTCATTGCCCCTCCCCCAGTGGCACAGCGGTATGTCTGCGGACTTACAACGCTAGAAACTAGGTTTCGATACCCGTGCTTGGCAGAGCACAGATATCCCATTGTGTAACTTTGTGATCAATTAAAACCAAACCAAACAAATATTTTTCATCTGTATCTATATGACTGATTGAATTATTCTTGTATATTTGTCTGGTTGGTTATCTAAGTACCTGCTGTCTGTATAATTTGCTGTTAATGTTTAATGATTCTATATATATAAATATAAAACCTTGTTCGGTGAGTTTGGAATATTCGGTGAGTTAAGAGTTGTATCCGAAGTGCTCGTTACGCCATAAACCAGATAAACGAACTTTGAGTTATAACCAGATCAACAATACAGTAGTATTCGTCCCGTGTATGTTAATATGTGTTATAATCCTCAATATCGCGTCCCGTGTATGTTAATATGTGTCATAATCCTCAATATCTCGTCCCGTGTATGTTACTATGTGTTATGATCCTCAATATCTCGTCCCGTGTATGTTAATATGTGTCATAATCCTCAATATCTCGTCCCGTGTATGTTACTATGTGTTATAATCCTCAATATCTCGTCCTGTGTATGTTACCCTAATTGCTAATAGACAGTTCAAAACTATAGGAGAAGTAAAGGGTTAAAACATTAAGGGAAAGAATAAGTCCTGTTGTTTTTATTATTTACTAAAAATTGGTCAAGAAATGGCGTTAATTTTCGAGGAAAAAAAAACAGACTATAGTTATGGAATAAAAACACCCTGGACAATCTATTATTTTGGTAAAAGAAATCAGCTGGGTGTTGTTGCTAACTTTGCACCGTAAGGTCTTCAAAACATCGGTTTTTATTAGCGCACATTTCCGAAACTTTGAAAACACGACTATTGAAAGCTAAGAATAAGCCAATCAGAACATCATGAATAATCACATGCAGGGTCACTTTTAATCCCAACGATATAATTAGAAACGAATTAATTTGTCCGGAATCTTCTTCGATGTTATTCAGTACGGTACCCCGTCTATGGACTTAGAACGCTAAAATCCGAGGTTCGATTTCCTGCGGTGGACACAGTAGATAGCCCAGTGTGGCTAAAAAACAAATTTCTCGAGCATGTTGTAAGTGACGCTGTCCGTTTTTTTTTTTTCGTTTTCTCAATTTTTTAACAGAACTCTTAGCACAGGAAGGGAGTTTCTAACGAACTATAATTGACTTTCTGGAAAATTGGTTGAATTGGTAATCGTAACGATATAATAACTAGTAACTAGAAGAATAAGAAATATCAAAGTATTTCAAAACTATGAAGTTTTATTTCTGTCCACATTGTTGTTATACGACCATTTTCGACGGAGTATCTATTTTTCCACATTTTTACAAAAAAAAAAAAAACAAGAAAAAGAAAATAAATTCATCTAACCTGCTTAATTTCCCGCAACGAAGTTTTAATCATTAAACCACAACGTGCTTAACTTTCTTTCTGTTACGCGGTACTAATTAAGTTAATGGTTTTTGTTTATTTCTTTTTGGAATTTCGCGCAAAAACTAAGCGAGGGTTATCTGCATTTGTTTTTCTTTTTTGGGTTTCCGAGACCGCTTACGGTCGTTGGGGCTCTTGGCATGTTAATGCACCATCGGTGATTGTCGGGCAGATTTACCCGGTGTCGCCCATGTCCTCTCCAAGTAGCCGTTCCTAATTTAGCAGCGAAATACTAAAGGGAAAAGCAGCTTATCAACATCATCCACCGCCAACTCTTGGGTTGCTTTTTTACCTCGAGAAATGAGGTTGATCGTCATATTATAACGCCCCACTGCTCAAAGGGTCAGCGTTTTCGGTAACGGGATTCAAACTCGCGACCACTGATTGCGAGTCGAGAGCTCTAATCGCCAGGCTATTGGTTGGTAAAGAGTAGCCCAAGAGTTGATGGTGGGTGTTGTTGACTAGCTGTCTTCCCTCTATTCTATCACTTCAAACTTAGGGACGGCTAGAACAGATAACTTTAAGAGTAACTATGCCAAAGAGGTATAATATTATATAATGATGAGTTTTCTTTGTTTGTAATTTAGGAGACGGGCAGCATTCGACCAGGGGTCATTGGAGGGAGCAAACCTCGAGTAGCCACTCCTGATGTGGAAAAGAAAATTGAAGATTACAAGAAGGAGAATCCAGGAATTTTTAGTTGGGAGATTCGGGATCGCTTGATAAAGGTATAAGACTTAAAATCGGCTAACATTGTTTAACAGCCAGTTTATTATTTTACAACATTCACAAATTATATTTAAGGATGGCTCTTTTACTTTTATTTTACAATATTCTCAATCTATATTTAAGGATGGCGCTTTTACTTTGATATTAACCACCAGATATCTTTATCTATAAAATAATAAATGTATTTAAGCTTTATTTGGTTTTTTAGAGCAATGTCATATTGGGCAATCTGCTGTGTCCCCCGCGTGGAATCGAACCCCGGATTTTAGCGTTCTAAGTCCGTAGACGCACCGTAGACCGTATTTAAGAAAACTTTTTCGTTCTCTACGTTTTTGTCATCGAAAGTTCATAACAAATCCTTTAGTTGACTTTGCGTTACTGAATGTTTTTTTTTCTCTTTGTTTTATGTAAGTTGATTACCTTAGAAACACAATTTAGCTATTCAATTTTCAGGACGAAATTTGTGACAAGAACTCAGCCCCCAGCGTGAGCTCCATCAGCAGAGTTCTCCGGGGAGGAAGGCAACCTGACAAGCCAGAAGATTGTTACAGGGATGGCGAAGGGAGCAAGAAAGCCGACCATAGTATTAACGGAATTCTGGGGGGTGAGTGAGTTACCTTTGTTTCCCTTCACATATATTTGTTCGTATTTCTGTGGCGTTGAAATCCTTTACTTACCAGAGCTCCTTCTTAAACTAGCAGAACAGCCTACAAGAAGTTATGAAATGTTTGATCGGTGATAAGATTTGTTTATATGTTTTAGGGCAACGCCATATTGGGGGGTATCCGGGCTGTGTCCACCCCGGGTTTTGGGTCCGTTTTATTTTACTCTCAATTTGTTTCGGATTTTTCTACCTTTCCCCTTCTGGTTGCTATGGGTGATGCAATAAAATATCGTGTGTGAATGATTTTACGGATAATATTCCGCGCCTAGCAACGAGGAGAGTAACTAAGAAACAGATGCACGCAGCCGCAGTGTGAAAATACTGTTTAAGGACTACCTGAGCTAGCCACTCATAATCTTGAAGTGGTAGGATAGAGGTAAGAAAGCTAGTCAACAGCATTCACTTCCATCTCTTGGGCTACTTTTATCGAATAGTGGGGTTTGAGTACCTCTAATAACGCCCCCACGCCCCCAATATGCGAATCGCATTTTTGCAACAATCTGGCGTGAACCACCAGGGAGTCTAACATTCGTAATCCGGCATGTTAGCCCGACCAGGAAAATAGTTTGTAGTTATGCACAAAGCTACACAATGGGCTGTCTGTGATCTGCCCACCACGGGTATCGAAACCCGGTTTCTAGCGTTGTAAGTCCGCAGACTGTGCCAATGGGGGGGAGGGAGGAAAATACTAAAATTCTTCAAAACCTGTTGTACTTGAGATCTTGTATTTATTTATTCTAATGATTTTTGTGATAGTTCTCAAACAAATTGGATAATGACGTGTTGACATAATTAAAAGAAATGAATTCCGTATTTCGGATAATCCACACGTCAGATGTAAAACATACACAGTATACAGACGTATAAAAGAGTTATCGGGTAATGTTGACCAAGATGAACAATAAACGAACCAAAATATTTGACCAATAACTTTCGAATTATTTTTTTGTCAAAATGCCCAATATTCGAGTATATTATTTGGCTTCGATTTGATAAATAAAGCCATTATCTGTCGTGGAAAAGTAAATTTTTGGCGTACATTTAAAGTAAAATCCTCAGGTAAATGTAAATATTTGGAGCATAGAGTGGTATCTTTAAAGTGAAATCCTCAGGTAAATGTAAATATTTGGAGCATAGAGTGGTACCTTTAAAGTGAAATCCTCAAGTAAATGTAAATATTTAGAGCATAGAGTGGTATCTTTAAAGTGAAATCCTCAGGTAAATGTAAATATTTGGAGCACAGAGTGGTACCTTTAAAGTGAAATCCTCAAGTAAATGTAAATATTTAGAGCATAGAGTGGTATCTTTAAAGTGAAATCCTCAGGTAAATGTAAATATTTGGAGCATAGAGTGGTACCTTTAAAGTGAAATCCTCAGGTAAATGTAAATATTTAGAGCATAGAGTGGTACCTTTAAAGTGAAATCCTCAGGTAAATGTAAATATTTAGAGCATAGAGTGGTACCTTTAAAGTGAAATCCTCAGGTTTAGAGCATAGAGTGGTACCTTTAAAGTGAAATCCTCAGGTAAATATAAATATTTAGAGCATAGAGGGCGCTAATGAAGCTCTTAAAAGAAGTGTAAAAGTCCCAAGCTTCTATATCATTTTCATTTATTTCTTAACAATTTGTGTGTGTGTGAATGTGTGTGAAATCGGAAGGATATTTCTTGAAAAACACGTGACTTTGGGCGTTTCAGACGTTCGTTTGAATTTCTCAAATTAGTCAAACTGTATTGTTCTTTCCACTAATGCACAGCCGAAGTGAGAAGAATTACTCCACTCTGTAAATGTCGCAACTGTTTGCGTGTGTGTAGTCCTTGCTAAATTGGAACCCTCCCAAAACAAGGAAGAGGAGCTCAGTCTGCCCTCTAGTTGTATGGACCAGAACTAATACTCTGTCTTCAGTATCAATAATGTAGTAACGACTGGAACCTGAACCCCCATAATAACCGGATTGGTAATCTAAGTAAACATGAGATACAAAGGTGCTTTTGTACACTGGGGATTATCGAGGTACTCGAGATTGTTTGCCGAATGGCTGATGCCCTCTAGTGTTAGAAACGCGAACAAACATGCTTACGATCTCTTACTGGAAATAAAAAAAAAAAACAACAAAGAAAGAAAGAAATAGACTAGCTGTTTGTTTAGTAACAAGAATGACAAATAAATGCGTCCGAAGTGTGACAATACAATATAAAACGGTTTTAATTGCTGTAAGAAATGAAACCCAGTGAAGGCCGAAATACTGACCATATGATCCATTTACCGTGACTGCGATGTTAACCATTCCCCCCCCCCCCTATTTTCATTTCTATCTGTCAGTTTAGATGTAACTTAACTGCCGTTTTTCAGCGGGAATGTTTTTACTGTTTGAACACTTAAAGAAGTCAAACAGTCTGTTCACTTGTGGTCAAGTTAGATGGCTGTAACGTTCGTTAGTCAACTATCAGCTGGGTGAGAATTTTTACCAACACCTACCCGTTACAGTTCTTACCAAATAATCCATATTGGATTGGTAAGTAATGATTTTGTATTTTCGTATGTCACGTTTCAAGCATGCGCGTTCCACATAGATATAGAAGGTTGTTTTTTTTTTGAATTTCGCGCAAAGCTACACGAGGGCTATCTGCGCTAGCCGTCCTTAATTTAGCAGTGTAAGACTAGAGAGAAAGCAGCTAGTCTTCACCACCTACCGCCAACTCTTGGGCTACTCTTCTATCAACGAATTGACCGTCACATTATAACGCCCCCACTGCTGCAAGGACGAGCATGTTTGGTGTGACGGGGATTCGAACCCGCGACCCGCAGATTGTGAGCCGAGTACCCTAACCACCTGGCCATGCCGGGCCGCAGATATAAAAGGAAAGAACGAATTATGTTAATAAACAGTCAACAATATATATATTGTTGACCGAACAATTATGAGTAAACACAGATATCCTGTTCTCTATTAGGGTTACACCAGTAAACAAAAAAAACGGAGTTAAAAGTAGTAATATAGACATTAAAATATTACCTTTTGTGGTGTAGTAATAATAACTCTGCTCTTTATTACCGTGACGATGTAAATAAAATATTATTTCCATTACCCTGGTGGTGAATGTAACAATATTACTTTTTTCAGTATCGTAAAGATATTACTATTTATTCCTTACACCGTACGTGAAGACAAAATCTTTCATTGCTCTGATGCTTGAGACGGTGATATCGTCACGGGTGTTGGAGGATAATATTAAAATATGCTGCGTTATCGTTATTTTTATTTGTGTTATGTAAAAACAGTGCATTCAAATCGTCACGGCGCAATAGTGGGGGGTATCAACGAATCAGACGTTAAAAGCTGTTCAGTTAAAAACACTCAAGCACAGTTATCAACTTATTAATATTACACAATTAAGAATGATAACAAAGCCTTTATAGCATATTGGTACCCGGTGACTTAATATGTGCACGTTTCCCAAAGCCCATTCGTTTGTTCTTAACCCTTAAATTACCAACGTTTTTTAAAACCCGATCACAAACTGAATGTTATCGGCTGATAGAACAATTCGTTCAAAAAAGCAAAACCAGAAGTAGTTAGCGGAATTAATTGAAATACTGATTGTGTTTTTTTATTTACGTTTGTTTATTTTGTGGGTGTGACTACTATGTTATTAGAGACCATCAACGTTATAGAACATCAAGAAATCTGGTGCATACATAGGTTAGAAAGTTGAAAAAAATCAAAGGAACTAAGATTAAACTTAAAGATCGCAGTAATCAACACCCGGCATAAGAGTTACGAGTTCTTAATAAAGAACGATTGTCTTTGGGTTTAACAATGTTTAAACGAGAAATTACCTTAGTATGGTTGTCTCGGGGTTTAACAATGTTTAAACGGGGAACTGCCTTTGTCTCAGGGTTTAACAATGTTCACTTTAAACAGAGAAATTATATTAGTAGGATTGATTCAGGATTCACAACTGATAAAATAGTTTCGGATCCAATATTATATTTTTGTGAACAAACTTAAATCTCGGGATACATTTTCTGTTTTAATCTTATTTGCTTTTATCGCTCAAGCATCAAGTGATTATCTATATCAAACGAATTTATGACTGACTTTTAACTTAATAATTTTAATACTCGTACAACGTTCGTTCCAGAGAACGAGTTTATTACATAAAAGATTTAGCCACAAAGCCTTCCTTATAGATACTATAGAAGCGCCATCTAATGAATTTCCTGGCTTTTACCGCTTTTATCTGTAACCTTAAAAATCTAGTAATGATTGGTTAAAAAGTCCATGAAACCCATTTGCTCGCATTGAACTTATTCAAACATAAGATGGACCTGTGATCGTTGTTTAGAGGCATAGCAAATGCTACTGAAGCGAAAGTTGTTAGACATAGAGGCTTCACTCTGATTTGATGCGAAACTGCCGTGTTTGTATGCATGTTCTGAGCACGAGCTACAAATATTGAATGAATAGCTACAACAGGAGCGAAAATGTTCTGATTTTTCCATTCGTGTGGGAATAGACAAGGTGTGACGTTCACGCACATTGAAGTACTTGATGTTCTGTCTTTCCGCCAGATGTCACGTCGTTTCTTTTCACTGATTAGGCTTAACAATATCAATACCAAAACCCGTAGATACTATTGGTAAAAGTACGCTTTTGCATCTGCTCTTTGCCATGGAAATTTAGCACAGAGGATCTTCATGAATCGCCTGTTCTTTCGTTAGCTTCTGGAAGGGGAGAGGGGGGGGGAGACTTTTTGTTGTATTTCCATCGTTAGCAGTGATTCGTTGGCTGTAATATCAAAGCCACTGGCTAGCAATCGACTATAACGAATTAGACTATACAGAGGCTTCGGCGGCCATGTTGAATAAAGCGTTACGCCGATTTCCGCCTTTTCTTCTTGTCAACGCTAGAGGTCGGCAGCGGCGGATGGATAGGGT